TCTGTTCCTCAGAGGTCACATGGGCTTGGGAGGAGCCCCTGGCTCCTTTCTTTTACCAATCCTGCCTATGTGAAGATAACTCAAAGGTCCCGCTCGACCATGGTTGGCTTCACTTGGAAGCATGGAGGAAATGAGTCCTCTGTGTTGACCCTCCTCTTTGTAGACTGGACACTAGTTCAAGTCCATCTGGTGGGGTCTCCTCAGCCTCCTCGATCAAGAGGACAGGTGACCCACCACCATTCCAGGACATTTTGAGAGATGCTCATAGTCCCCTGGAACTAGTCAACCTAGGAGGGCAAGGAGCAAAAAGTGTCCTTTATGTCCCTCTGACCAAATTATTATAGGCCTCAAAGTATGTCTGTTAAACACCCAAGAAGGTTAGTTCCACCAGTCTGGTACTTTTAATTACTGTGTGACATGTAGATAAATCTTGGGCAAAGACCAGTTCTCAGATAAACCTTACCTAGACATATATTTCTTGATAATTTTTTATTTTTATATTTATGAGTGTTTTGCCTGTAGATCATGTGTGTGCAATGCCCACAGAGGTCAGAAGAGGGGACTGCCTCCCCTGGAACTGGGGTTACAGATGGTTGTTAGTCACCATGTGGGTGCTGGGAACAGAAACCCAGTTCTCTGCAAGCGCAATCAGTGCTCTTAACTACTGAGCTGTTCTCCAGCCTTAAGGGTGGGAGAATAAGAGAATGGGAAGAAGAAGAGAATGAAGAAGAAAGGGTGCCTCTGAGAGACAGAAAGCTCGGCTGGGGTTGCAGCTCAGTTGGAAGAGTTGCCTAACAACACACAGGAAAAAGAAACAGACCCCAGCAAGGGGTGGGGAGGAGGAGGGCTGCAGGCTGTGGCTCCCACTGAGCCGGTCTCTCCAACTGCACCCTCCTACCCCCCTCATCTTGAGAGCCTCCAGGAGACTTCAGAGGCCCTAGGGACACAGACTGTTAGAGCTGAGAGACCTGTTGGCTCCCTTCTACACAAAGATGCTGAAATGGAGGCTGGGTGTGGTGTCTCACACCTGTCATCCTGTGCTCCTAATACTCAGGAGGCTGAGGCAGGAAGATCAGGCGTTCAAGGCTGGCCTTGAACACATAGTGAGTTCAAGGGCAGCCTGGATTACATGAGACCCTGTCTCAAAAGCAAAAGAAACATTTAAAAAAAACATAAATTGATGTATGTGTGTGCATTGCATTCATATATGTGGGAGTTTCACAAAACGAGAAAGGGATCATGAGAGGATAGAAAGAGACCTTGAGGGAGGTGGGAAATGGACAATCAACAGGTGATAAACTGGCAGGAACAGAGGCTGACTGAGGGGAGGAAGGGAACCAGTGGAGGTGGGGCCCAGAGGAAGCTGTGGGGAAAGGGAGCCAGTGAGTACAAAGGTTAACGCCCCCAGGGCTGGGGAGACGGCTCAGCAGCTAAGAGCAAATGCTGCTCCCAGCACCTATACTGGGCAGGTCACAACTGCCTAGAGCTCCAGTCTGGGGATCCAATGCCTTTTTCTCAACCCCACAGGCACCTGCACTCATGTGCACATACATGCACACAAACACATATACATAAAGCTGGGAGCTGGGCATGGTAGCACACACCTATAATCACAACACTCAGGAGGCAGAGACAGAGGCAGCCAGATTTCAGTGAGATCAAGGCCGGCCTGGTCTACATAGTGAGTTCCAGGCCAGCTGAGGCTACAGGGAGACCCTGCCTCAAAAAACAAAAAAATCAAGCAAACAATGACAAGAACCAGAAAAGAAAACCTAGGGCTGAAGCACAGCAGGAGAACAGCTGCCTGGGATGTGCAAGTCCTGGGTTTGATCCCAGCACTGAGGGAACAAAGCCCTCCACCAGGGTATAGGGACACTCACGAAAATGCCACGTTGATCCCACTGCTTCATACTACAACTTTTTAAAAACCCTTTGGTATGTGGGGACATAGATGGGGAACCAGCCTCAGTGGATAAAGAGCCTTGCCACCAAGCCTGATGGCCTGAATTCGGGACCCATATGGTGGAGGGACAGAACCGACTCCTGGAAGTTTTCCTCTGACTGCCACATACGTGCCATGGCATGCACATGCACACATGACCACACACATACATACACACATACATACAATAAATTGTTTTTTAAGAATTATCAAACATTTAAGACTTTACACTAACATTTGTCAGATCTCAAGTTGTCACAATAGTGTCAGAACTCGATTCATTGTTCTGAAACTGTTTCTCATTTCATGCTGTGTGCCGTCTGTCACGCATGCACGTACACACATAAGAGAACATCTACACTCACTCCCCCACAATAAGAGCTGGATCCTTGTACTAGTTGGCTTTTATTCTCAACCTGACACTACCTAAATTGACCTGGGAAAGAGGAACCGCAATTTAACTCTTATTGGACCTTGGTCGTGTCTGTGCAGAATTGTCTGGACCGATGATTGATGTAGGAGGACCCTGCCCACTGGGCATGGAACTATTCCTCAAGTAGGTGGTCCCGGCTATATAAGAAAGCTGAGTGAGCCAGTGAGCAGCATTCCTCCACCGCCTCTGCTTGTGCTCCTGCCCTGGCTTCCCCCAGGGATGGCCCATAGCCCCTGAGGTGAAATAAACCCTGAGCTCCCCAAGTTACTGTCGGTTGTGGTGTTGATTGCAGACACAGAAAGCAAACTAGGACAGCCCTCAGTCAGTCCTAGGGCTCACTCTGAACCTTGTTCCCACCCCAGGATCGCACTCTCTGCACTATGCCTACTCCATTGTGTCTGGGCCAGCTCCAGGAGTCCCTATGTTTTTTGGCAATGGCTTCATAGATGACCAGCCCTTCATCCGCTTCGACAGTAAGACCATGAAGGCAGAGCCTTGTGTGGACTGGCTGAAGGAAAAGCCAAGTTACTTTATTGATGAGACACAGATTTTCACCAGTTGGATGAAGATTTTCCAGTTGAGCCTGAGGAACGTGGGGCAGTATTACAACAGCTCTGAGCCTAACACGCGGAGGCAGAGAGCAGAGCCAGCAGGTGTGTACTTTGAGAAGGGGTCAGGAAGCAAAGGCCACTGTCTCCCCTCACCCCCCCATCAGCAGGAGGCCCTCAGAGTATCCCCACAGTCCCTCAAGGACAGTCTGGCCCAGTCTGCTCCCAGAGTACTGGGACTGGGTCTCTTTGATACTCATCTATTTGGTTCTTGGCAATCCCACTGAGTCGCACATACATACACACACCTGGAATGCATCATTAGGTGCTGGAGGTGGGACACGGAAAACGTACCTAAGCATTTGTCTTCTGGGGATGCAGGCACTCAGATGCCTGAGGACATTGACTGGGTCTCTTTGATACGCATCTATTTGGTTCTTGGCAATCCCACTGAGTCGCACATACATACACACCTGGAATGCATCATTACGTGCTGGAGGAGGGACTCGGAAAGCGCACCTAAGCATTTGTCTTCTGGGGATGCAGGCACTCAGATGCCTGAGGACATTACTGACTGAGAAGCAGGGACATCATCATGGTTGGCTGCTGTAGGCAAGGGAGACAACCCAGTGGCCAGCAAGAGTTTTATGAATGAGATGATAAAAAACCTGAAGGATGGATGTGATGTATGAGTCTATCAAAAAAAGAAAGAAAACAGAAGACAGGATGGTAATTCACATCTGTGAGCCCAGCACTCAAGAAGCTGATGCAGGAGGGTTGCCACAAGTTCAAAGCCAGCCTGGGCTATAGTGTGAGATCCTGTCTCAAAAAATTAGAGCAACGGGCAGTGGTGGAGCACGCCTTTAATCCCAGCACTCAGGAGGCAGAGGCAGGCAGATCTCTGTCAGAGGAGACCAGCCTGGTCTACATAGTGATTTCCTGGCCAGCTGGGGCTACAATGTGAGATTCTGTCAGAGAGAGAGAGAGAGAGAGAGAGAGAGAGAGAGAGAGAGACTTCCCATACCTCTGGAAGTTATGGTGCAGCCAAGTTCAAGGTGGGATTCGGCAGAATAGGCTCAAAAAACAGATTTTTAGCTAAATAAGTTTCAATAATTGTCTCCTGACGGCTCAGCTCTGTTGAAACAAGTCTGTGAAGGGCCTTTAAGCCAGCACACATCTCATGAAAAGCTGAAGAGCTCAGCGGCTCCACTTTCCTCCAGCTGATCCTAAAAAGAGTTGTGCACATAACTGGTCAACCCTTTAGAGGCTTGAGATATGGAAGAAACACAGCAGTCAAGTTCAGTATAATGTGTAAGTGTTGGCTGAGAAGCTTAGACGTGTGAACCATTGGGCAGAGGAGGGCAAGATGGATCCCAGCCCAAGCAACCTCAGTTTAATTTGACTTTGAAATTCATTAGAGAGGTCTTCAGCAGAAAACTTGGTTGACTGGTTGGCTGGTCTCTGGAGGCTGGCTGGCCTCTAACTCACTATGTAGCTAAGAATGACTTTGAACCCCTATTTCCTCTACCCTACCCAGCACTGGGACTGCACATGCGGGCCACCACACCTGACAGACAGGTGGGTGCTTGTTAATGCTAAGTGTGTTTTCTAGAACCTCAAACAGAGCTATAGTGATCACAGCAAAGCCTCTTGCGATCATGCAGTATGCTCCTGTTCCTGGGAGGCTGCACTTAGACTCTGCGGTGGGTGGAGGCCTAAGCTGGGTTCCAGGTCATAGTGAAAGAGCCTGTAGTAGGATGATACAGCCTTGGGCTTCCAGTCTCTTCAGCGCAGTCCACCTTGGGCACATGGAAGCCTTGGCCCAAGGCTGTATCACCCCACCGCATGCTCTTTCACCATGACCTGGAACCCAGCTTAGGCCTCCACCCACCGTAGAACTAACAGCAATTACAGGATGTCAGTCCGGGACCAGACTAGGATGTCTAGAGTGAGAACATCCCTTTAGGCCAAGGGATCCTGTGGGTGCTGCAAGGGCAACAGAGCAGGGATCATAACGGGGAGGTATGGAAATAACTCTGTCATCGCTAACCTGCCTGTCCTGGGGACGCTAGGCCCCCACACCCTCCAGTTCACCTATGGCTGCGAGATTCAGGATGACAGCAGCACCTCAGGGCACTGGCAGTATGGCTACAATGGCAGAGACTACCTGACCCTGGATTTGGACTCCATGCAATACGTAGCATCCACATTCATCGCTGGCTACACCAGGCGGAAGTGGGAAAACACCAGGTCCTGGATCCAGAAAGACAAGGACTATTTGGAACGGGAATGCATTGAATGGCTTTACAGATACTTGGAGCGTGGAGGGGAGAAGTTGACACGAACTGGTAATGACCTCCCAGAGCCCAGCCCTCGTCCAGGTGGCCAGCATGTGGTTCTCTCTCTGAAGTTGGTGCCCAGGCTCCCTCAGGGCCCAGCACAGGGATGTAGGCTGTCTGGGTGGGGCCAGTATGCTGGGGTGGCCTCCCACAAGCCAGAGAACCAGACTTGGGTCACCTCCTTCTTGAGTTTCCTGCACAGTGTGTCTACTACCATCTCTCAAATAACCTCTGGATGTGCCCTGAATCCTTGAGGGTGTCTCCTTTCCCACTGGAGACATAAAGCTGTGATGTCAGCAGCTGTGTGGAGATACCCACCAGTGGCTTGAGGAGGGTGTGCGGTCTTCAGCGGCTTGCTGTAGAGAACATCAGGGCTGAGCTTCCAGGCCCTTTCTTGGATCCCTGATTAGCTTAGTGCTCAGTTCTCACACTCACCTCGATGTCACCAGTACTAACCCCAATAGGCAGCCAAACCATCAAGAGTTGGGGGTGCCTTGGTCATTAGAGTACATGCTGCTCAGCACACCTTAGCATGGGTCTCCCCTGATTTGTCTACTGCAGATCCTCCCCATACAACAGTGACCCACCACCCCAGGCCTGAAGGAGACGTCACCCTGAGGTGCTGGGCCCTGGGCTTCTACCCTGCTGACATCACCCTGACCTGGCAGAAGGATGGGGAGGACCTGACCCAGGACATGGAGCTTGTGGAGACCAGACCTGCAGGGGATGGAAACTTCCAGAAGTGGGCAGCTGTGGTGGTGCCTTCTGGAGAGGAGCAGAGATACACATGCCATGTGCAGCATGAGGGGCTGCCTGAGCCCCTCACCCTGAGATGGGGTAAGGAGGGGTGTGGGCACAGAGCCTGCTGTCAGGGAAAGCAGGAGCCTTCTGGAGACCCTGAGCAGGGTCAGGGCTGAGAGCTGGGGTCAGGCCCTCATCTTTCCCTTCCCTTCCCAGAGCCTCCTCAGCCCACCATCCCCACCATAGGAGCATGTGCCAGGGACAGCCCATGTGGACATGGAGTGCCTACCTTTTGGGGTGTCCTGTTCCTTTTACCTGTCCTGATGGTTATGCTTTGTCAAGTTTTCATCATCTGGAGATGTAAGGTAGGAAAGGAAGTCTGGACTTCCTCCTTCCAACATAGAATACCGCCCCCTACCCACAAGAGTCAAGCTGTATCGTGTCCTGGGACCTCCTTCTGTAGTGTAGCAAAGGCTGGAGGGACCTGGCTGGAGGGAGATGGCTGAGGGGATTTCCCTGAGAGCACCTGACTGGAGGAACCTAGCTAGAGGGCTGATGGGCTGAGAAACTACAGGGGGAGGGGGTCCTGGAGACTGTTATACCACTGACACTGTCAAAGGCACACCAATACCCAGGACATCTGTTGACATGTTGGTCCCCAGACTCCTGATCTGAGGATATCTCTACTCCTTTATAAAGGTTCCAGGAGCAGCACCCAAGACCTGAAAGTCCCATAGCACCTAGGAAATGGGCCTACTTCTCATGGGACAATGTGTCAGGTCCTCCTCCCTCAGGTGTTTGGATTTCTTATAAGCAATTAAGTGAAAAGCAGCCAGGTCCCAGGGTGAATTGCCCAATCTGAAGGAAGCATGCTATGGCTGTGTTTTCTGTGTCTGGATAGATAGATAGATAGATGATGATGATGATGATGATGATGATGATGATGATGATGATGAAGATAGATAGATAGATAGATAGATAGATAGACAGATGATAGATAGATAGATGATAGACATGTATGAGCGACTATGTATGGGGGTCTGTGTATATGTACATGTGTAAGCATGTAAGGATTTTTATGTGTGTGTGCACATGCACGTGTACATTGACTCCTTCATACTTAACCTCATGCTGCCTCTTCTCACCCTACAGGTCAGACAGTGACAGTCTGTTCTCCATCCTTCTTCAGGTGAGAGGGGCTTGGGATAAGGGAGGAAGAGAACTAGTCCTCACCACTTAGTATAAACAAACTGAGTGGATGCCCCCTTTACAGGATTCTATCTTACCAAACATGCCAGGGATTGTTCAAAGAGATTTTTACTAAACCACATCAGAGCCCCAGGAGACTGGGGGAGCTCCTGATTCCATTTTACAGAATAGGAAATAGACACCAACAAAAGTTTAGATGACTTCAATGCTGAGCCAGGACTCCAGGCAAGTCTGACTCTCGGGTCTCTCCGTGGTCCTCATTACCATCTCCTGACCTCAACTACCATACCTGTCCACCTGCCTGGGGACAGGTCACCTCTGTGAGCTCTGGCCAGCTTCCTTTTCCCTCTGAAGCCCCGAGACTGCATTTCTCACTGCAACTCTTATATTGGAGGTTCCAGGCTCTAAAGGGACACACTGACTGGTGGTGTGTGCTCATTCAAGGTGGCAGGAGACAGAGCCCACTGGTGCGCTGGGGAGTCAGTGGTGCTTACAACTGTGCTGAGCTGTGCTGGTGGAGACCAGCAGAGGTCAAGCCATGTATCCTTCACTGATTTAGTCTCGGCCCAAGAGCTCAGCTTCATATCAACCTGACAAACACCAGTAGTCCTTGTCCTCCTGTCCTGGTAACTCCCTGATAATATCAGCATTTCAGGGTGGGTCAGGACAGTGGCCTGTCCCTATGAGGTCAGAAAAAAACAAGAGAGCCAGAGAATGGGAAAGTTATGCTGGGGAAGCAAAGGCAGGATGTGTCTTCAAGAGTGGCCACAGGGGGCTGGAGAGGGCTCAGGGGGTAAAGGTACTTGCCACCAAGTCTGATGACCAGAGTTCAGTCTCTGGAACCCACATGGTGGAAGGAGAGGACCACTGACCCACAAGTTGTCCTCTGACCTCCACATGTGTACATGTGTGCTCCCCCAATAAACAAGAAAAAAATGTTTAAAGAGTGGTCATGGGAAAGCCATTGTTTTAGTTTGATTTGGTTTGGGGGTTTTGAGATAGAGTCTCACTCTGAATCCCCAGCTGGCCTTGAACTTATGGCAGTCCTTCTGCCCCTGCCTCCTGAGTGCTGGGATTACAAGTCTGTGTCACAACATCTGGCTTGGGAGCTGACCTGGAAAGGATCCACTTCCAAGCTCAAGTTGTTTTCAGAACTCAGTCCTTACAGATTGCTGGACTGGCTGCCCCCTTGCTCAGTGGTAGCCAGAGACTGACCTCAGTTCCTTCCTCAGGGGCCTTCCCACCTCACTGAAGCTCGCAAGCACCAAAAGCAAAAGCTGCTGCTGTCACCAAGTCAGAAGCCACAACGGCTCTCGGGGAAGTAGAGTCATCTTTCCCATATTCCGCTGATTAATAACAAAGCACCTGTCCCAGCCTGGGGGTTCAGCAGGTTTCACTGCTTGCCATGCAAAAAAATCACAGCTAGCCTGTACATTTGCCGTGCAGGAGAATCGAGGACAGTGGCTAAAGCCTTTGCTGCACAAGTGTGAGAACTAAAGTTCAAATCTGCAGAACCAGGGCTGGAGAGATGGCTCAGCAGTTAAGAACACTGACTGTTCTTGCAGAAGACCCAGGTTCGAATCCCAGCACCCACATGGCAGCTAACAACTGTCCGTAACTCCAATTCCAGGGGATCCAACACCCTCTTCTGACCTCCGCGGGCATTGCACAACACAGGTGCACTTACCTACACGCAGGCAATACACTCATACACATAAAGCAAAAATAATAAATAAAAAATTTCAACTTTAAAAAAAAATCTGCAGAACCCACTTAAATGCTGGGTGGGCGTGGCTCAGAAGGCAGACGTGGGATCCTTGGAACAAGCCAGCTAGCCAGACTAATACTATCAACAAACTCTGGGTTCAACTAAAGGACCTTGTCTGAATGAACGATGTAGAAAGAGCCCAAGGAAGCCTCCTGCCGACAACCCCGGGCCTGCACAAAGAGGTGCAAAGACGTAAGGAAAGAAACAGGAGGTTATAGGCCGCATCTTCCATTCTGTCCGCACTCAGAGGTGTGTGCTCAAAGATGGCAGGTTGGGATGGAGCCATGGCTGTGCATCATGGAACTGCCATGGTAACAGAAACATCCTATCCTGAAGGGACAGTCCTTAAGACTCTGGAAACAAACAACTCCCAAATGCCAAGAAGTTCCTGAAAGTTACAAGATCCAGAAGGGCGCTCTCCGACCCGGCACACCTGCAAGTTGTACATTGAGCTCTAAGGATTCTGCTTTCCTGAGCCATCACCCATTCTGGAGTGGTTTTTCCATGATGCCGCAGCCTTTGAATCACCTGTCTCATCCCCCACACTCTTGTAAGTAACCCCCAGAAACTTCACCTGTTTGCTCATTGGACTTCTGTGAATTCACTTCTTTGGTCTGTTGTCAGTACCCTATCTGGGGTGGGAAGATGTTTGCCCATGTCTCCTCAGGAGAAATCAGACACCAGATGAACATGGATGAACTGTTTTCATCACAGAGTGTTTGTGGGTAGATTTCCAGTTGTTGCGATGCTCTTGGGTGTTATGTGATCCTGTGAGGGTGTTGTCTATAAATACTCCCCCTTGAAGTTTCTGACCTGCATCTATTAGAAAGCTCCATCACTGTGGAAGCAACCTAAGTGCCCCTCAACTGACGCGTGGTTAACAAAAATGTGGCACATTTACACAATGGAGTTCTACTCAGCAGTAAAGAAAAATGAAATCATGAAATTTGCAGGTAAATGGATGGATCTAGAAACTGTTATACTAAGTAACACAGATTTAGAAAAATAAAATATGTTCTTCCTCATATGTGGATCCTAGCACCAAATCCTTTTAAATTCCAGGTCCTTTTAATAAAATGATGCTATACAGCAGTCCCTTCTGCATGAAATAACTACCATCATCATGACTTCAG